ATTACAATTAAACTAAAGATTGCTACCGATACATTCATATCGAAAAATTACTTTACAGACTGAAAATGACACTGGACTGAAAATATAAAAATTAAATTCATAAGCAAAACCAGGAAATCACAACTTTATTAATATTAGATTGATGATTGTAAATTCTGCTATTTTAGACGTTACTCACTTCTGATCTATCAAGCACCTTGGATCCGATGTCAGGTTTATATTATAGGTATTCTTGTTGGCTATTTGTTCCAAACAGTGAAAACTCTTCACATATCAAAGGTTACTTCACATCAAATTTTATCCCTTTTTTCAATCTTTGATCAGTCATTACGAAGTCCAAAGACAATTAGCTGATTTATTAGAAATTAGAGGTGGTAAATACCATGGGAAGTTTAAATAACTAATTTTCAATTGGTTGATTTGTTCTATTAATTTCCATCCTTATCTTCTAATGATAATTTTATTAGACGCATCCTTCTTCACCTTTTTTTTTCTGTATTCTCTTTCAACTATCCTTCAGGAAAGTTTATAAAATTTTTATTTCTTTTTTATTTAGAAAAAAAAGCAAGTTTAGGCGGCATAATATGATGAATTTCAGCCTAATAATGATTACTAACAATTAATTTTAGTTAATTTAGTTAAAAAAGTTCCAGTTAAGTTTAAGCTAATTTCAAATTTTCAGTTAACAAATATTATTTGCTGGAGTATTTCATTAATGGTTGGTATACTAGTGATAATGTCATTAAGAGACTGGATTGGCTATGACATTATATTGGATTTATCTGTGCGAGCTTTCTATTCAGCATTTAGTAAGCTTGGATGGAGTTTAGCTCTCGCTTATATCACCATCGCTTGTTTTTACGGTTACGGAGGTAAGCATATGATATGATACATTTGTTATCATAGCATATCACATACTTGTCAAGATATTCCTTACATCTTGACAAGCAAATAAATGATAGATATTAAATATAATACAGTATACTCGTGTACTATTTCATTTCTTCGGAATTCAAAATAATCAATAATAATGCTACTTACCTTCTCCTTTTCACATTCGATTAAATAAAGTTGTAATTGGTCGAAGGCCCAATTTTAGGACCAATAAACGACTTCATGTCACTTTCAATATGGAAACCGTTAGGTCGACTTACTTATTGCACGTATCTAATCCATTTTCTTGTGCTAATGTATGTGATATCTATGGGTATCGATGGATTCAGCTTCTCGAGCACTACTCATACGGTAAGTAAATTTCTAAAAACTTATCAATTTTAAAGCGATTTATCGATTAACACCACACAAGAATTCTTTTTCAACTTTTTCAATTTTTTCTATATTATTTGTCATTGCCACTTTGCAGTGGGAAATTTTTTTTAGCTTATCGTCTTCGCACTACCGTGTTGTGTCATTTCGTTATTTGTTGCTTATTGGCTAAGTATTTTGTTTGAATTGCCAGCGAGTAAGTTAGAGATGATATTAACGGGCAAAATTCTTAATAAATCACAACAAAGGCAAATGGCACGAGAGATACAAACAATGGAGCAAAATCATCCGATTATCAATTGCTGGAAAAAAGTTGGAGAGTTGTGAAAAGAAGAAAAATAAAATATTTTAAGATTTGCTATTTTTTCCAAATTAATACGGTGTTGTGAAAAAAGGAGTGAGAAGATGAGGGATATTGTTTTTATTAGTTGTAAAAGCTAAGTTTTAAAGGAATGATTTACTGAGTACCGGTATTGTTGTGTGTTCGGAACGTACAGCAGTTTATCGTTTATTATCGTCGGGATACCAAATACAATAGAAATAGGTTCAAAATAATTCCAATTACAATAGAATGACGTCCAGAATAATACCAGTAGAACAATGGATGAAACTGTAAGTAGTAACATAGTGAATTGGGAGAAATATAGTGTGTTGTGTAAAGCTGAGTGCTGATCGATAGAATTGAATGAATTGATGTTAGAATTTTATGGTTTATATAAGGAATGTGTGATATGAAATTTCGTAACAATCATTACAAATTGACAGTATTCTACAAAAGAATTTACATAAGATTGGTTTTATAGATGAAGAGGAAATTATAGGAAATTATTTTGTGAGATATACAACTTTCTCAAGTAGTATACAAGATTTATGCGTAAGATAAGGCTTTTACAAATTAGTTGCCGAATGTAGAGTGAGGCAGGAAACATTTTTAAACGATTGGTAGATAGTTAACTCATGACTATTTGAATGAATAATTCTATGATTCAACTATTCCAGTTTTTCCGACATACGGAATGAGAAAAAAAGCATTCGATTCCTATAATGATTACTACTGTATAAATTTAAATGGTGAAATTACATTAGAAACGAAAAATGCTCAGATGATAATTTTTAAGTGATATCAGATAAATTTTTGACTGTTTCAAAGTATCCATATTCTTTGCAAAATTGAAATCTCATCTGCTAAACGTAGGTTGGGATTGAAGTTACGCAAATGTAAATATATTGCAACACTCTTGGAAAATTCTTCCTTGTCCTGAATTTTAAAAACGCATGACATACAAGAGAAAATAAGGAACAAGCAAAGATAACAAATTTAAGTTAGCATCTTCAGTGTAAAATCAACGGTATTACGCCATCTAATTGAATGAATCTTATAATTCATAGGCAATACCA